CTGCAGAAAAAGCAAGGGGGCACAGAAAGTGAGGAGATAGTTCTAAGTTGTTTTGCACCAACTGTAAAAGAGGTAATAATTTAGTATTGCCACAGAGTTCAAAGAATGTGAGCTGTTCGTGTTTTGATTTTTATCACTAATAACATTTCCATTACCATGAAAACTAAATTTGCAGACTTCCGTGTGTTACAGCCTACAAATTTTTGTATACCAAGAAACAATCTGAAATCTACAAAATCCATAATAAACTGAAAAATCCATTGTCCACCTATACTGAAAAATCCATTGTCCACCTATAGAACTGATTTAAAGTTGAGCGACAACATAAGGATATTTTTGTGGCCCAAATTCTAAACGATATATTACTAATTAGTGGCAGAATAGAACTCTGAGATATTATTGATTAAACTTACAGTGGTAAGATTCTCAGGTAACACTAGTTAGTTGAAGGACACAGAAAATAATGCTGGAGACCACTGGTGGACACTAACTAGTATTTTTCTATAATAATGTCAACTTTTTAAAGAAATATTCTTTGTCTATTTAAACTTTCTACTTTGTCTTGAATATTTAAGCATCAAAACATACACCTATTTCAAAGACATAAAAGTTCTTACCAGTGACAGATACAAATGAAGGTGTGATTGAAACAATATTATTGAATGAACATTTGTCTTAAAAATTAGTAGACTCAAAAGCAAAGATAGCCATTAAATGAGTCATTTAATACATCCTATTTAGAGCTAAATGAAGAGCATGAAGTCCACGAATCAAAGCATTTGAATGTCTGTGTATTTCTGTGAATAAATTTCTAGAATGATTTTAATCCTTTTTGAGAAGGTGACTTTGAATAATTCCTTTTGTTATTCCATATAAGAGGCTTAGGATAAGAAATTGAAATTGAAAACTCACTTTTAAAGCTCATGAAAGTTAGGGAGTTCTAGCTTATTTATTTTTATTCCAAGAAATTTAAAAATTAGTAAATTATCTTACAGAAAGCAATTCACTATAAGCAGGAATGTATTTCCATACTTATACTTGTTTAGGATGTGGTCCTAGAAATGCACGCAGCTATACATGGAAAAATATTCATTTTATTTTGGTGAAAACCCAATTGGCGAATAGGAGTTATCAGTGAGGTTTATACTGCTACAGAGCTACACTCTGCTTGGAGTAGGATAGCAGGGAGAGCTCCCACCCCATTTCTTGAGACACAATTGAGGCATTAAAATAGTATGTGCTATGAGAAAACCCAAACTTTAGCAATGAAATTTTCAGTTTTACTGAAAAAAACTTTCCTATTAGTCTTGAGACTATTTCTCAAAGTGTGACATTATTTGTAAAGATTAAAAGCTTTTAGGGGCTGAGAAAGTGGCTCAGTGGTAGAGTGCTTGCCTTGCTTGCATGAGGCCCTGCGTTTGATTACAAAGCACCACATAAGCAGTAAAAGCCAGAAATGGTGCTGTGGTTCAAGTGGTAGAGCACTCTCCTTGAGCTGAATAGCTGAGGGATAGCTCCCAGGCCCCAGAGTTCAGGCCCAATGACTGACAAAAAAAAAGGTTTAGGAATTTGTTAATCATGAAACTTCGTTTGGTTTCTTGGAATTCATCAATAAAATAATTTGAAGAAAAAAGAAAAGATTAAAGGCTTTTAAGCCTCAATTCAGAAAAAAATATATCTAGCATCCAGCTGATGGTGGCTCATGCCTGCATACAATCGTAGTTTCTCATGTGATTAGGATCTGGAGGGTAATGGTTTAAAGGCAGCCTAAGTAGAAAAGTCTATGAGACTCCAGCTCCAAAATTACATATGACTGAAATGGAATAGTGCCAGCCATGCAAGCAAGTCAACCAAATGCAAAAATCTGCATTTGAACCTTGTTAGTAATAAGCAATATCTAGATCTAGAGCTTTCATTAAAATACTTTATATGTCTATGATTTTGAATAAGAAAATACCCGAGATCTGATAATACTACTTCATTTAGACCAAGAAATTTTATTAAATGAAAACAGCCATTTTTTTAAGGTAAGACTTCGCAGGAATTATAATGTATATACTATTTTTTTAACTGTGCAGTATTTTATGCTGTAATTGTGAATAGAACCTGCAAATTATCTAAAAGTTTTAAAAATGTACACTACTGACACTGCATGAAGCTATAAGATATGTATTTTTCCCCCATTCATTAATGAGTTTTGTAACCATGCATTATTTGCATGGATTTGGACAAAGGTATATAAGGAAGGTAGTTCATAAACAATTTTATATTGTTAGGCTGAAAACTTCCAATCATTTCTGCTAGAAATGTATCAATTTGAATTTCATGGCTGTTTTTCAAAGAACAGGAAGAATTTGATTATGTTTTGACTAGAGATAAGTCAAACTGTGTCTAATTGCTTTTAACAATATTAGGAAAATGGTAGAATGAACTAAACAGATAACCAAATCATGCCCAAATACCTTTTCTTCATCTCCAAAATCACATAAATGAAAACACTAACTGGTAGAAAAACAATGTAAAGACAAACTGTGGCCTAGCAGACAATTTAAGAACCTGCTTGCTAGATTAAATTATAATGATACTGTGTTAACTGAACAGTCATATTTTAATGCTTTCCTGAAGGTTTGTATTTTAGATCTAATGTCCATATAAGATAGAAAACATGTGCCCTTTGTCTCTAAGTCTGATTTAGAGCACTTAAAATAATTTTTCAGTTATTTTATTTTTTAGTTACAACTAAAAAATAGTTGTAGACACTTGCCTGCAAACAACATATTCTTTCTGATAGCTGAATAAAATTTGTGTGTGTATGTGTGTGTGTGTGTGTGTGTATACTATTTGTGTGTACTACCTAACCAATTGTGGTAGGACAAAAGAGTATAGACAGATATGGACTGTATACACTCAAGCAAGCACATGGGCATGCACACACACACACACACACACACACACACACATACATCTACTACCACTTACACCACCAACACCACATTTTCCTGATCTACTTATTGGTTGTAGGGCATCTGGGCTGTTTCTCTAACTTGGCTTTTGTGCATAGTGCCGCACAAAACATGGATGTCTCTACTGAATCCTGACTTGTAATATGCTGCATAGATGACCAAGGGAGTATCACTGGATCATGTTTATTAGTTCTATGCTTAGATTTTTGAGGAATCTCCAAATCATCTTCCAGAATGGTCAAAAACTAAGCATATTAACATAAAGTAATTTGCCAAACACTGATCAAGTTACTTCCACTAGCCACTTTGTGTGAACTTTGATAATGGGCTCAATAGGAAATGGACTCATTAGCTTGCTCATGTAACTGGAACCTCTCTGTACAGTATCTTTACAATAAAAAATATATATTAAGAAAAAAGAAAAATACATGGAAAAATAAAGAAAATGGCCAGGCTGGATGCTAACTAACTTCTAAGCAACGTCTAAATTTGAACTCATTTCATTATAGTTGATGGGGAAAGCACATCCTCATCATAATTGTAAAACAAACCACATTGTTTCCTGTACTTGTAATATGAGGCTGAGTTTGGAACCAGAGATTAAAGCAAGGCATAGGAAACAGTGCTTTCATTAACTTCTACATGTTATTTTGCTTTGATTGCCATGAAAAACACATAATACAATTTCACATTTTTACCATATTTAATATACAGTATAGTGTTAACTATACACATTGTTGAGCAACATAATGCAGCCAGGTTAGAACACTCTGTGGTAGCATTTTGTAAGAACTGCACCATATTTAGCCCCTTGGAGCAAGTTCTTTTGATTCTTTTTCCTCTTTTAGTTCCTGGGATCCTAGTGTTTTCCAACGTTTTCTTTTTCCTCTCCCTCTGTTCTTTTCTTCCCTAAATCTAACTTCCACTCATGTCTATCTATTCTCTGTTACCCTACCACAGCCAAGTTTGTAGTACTTTTGCCAAAACAATCTTATACATGTTTACATTAAAAAACAATTCACAAAAAATTCACATGTAAAATACATAGATAGACAAACAATGGTTAAAGAACACCTGTCTAGCAAGTGTGAGTTCTTGAGTGCAAACCCTAGTAACTCCAAAAAAAAAAGACTGTACTGATGACTTGAGTGAAAAAAATCTTAATTTTATTTTACCTTGATTCAAAGAGATATTATAAAACTGAGGACTCTGTTCATGATACTCAGAACAGAATGTGACACTGCCCTAAATTGAACCTATGTGTTGCTGATGTTGGCAATTACATTTTAATAGAAAACAGCCAAGAAATGAATACAGTATAGAAGAGTGACACAATTGTTAAAGCACTAAAATTTCAATGTTTGCTAGTAAAAAATTTTAAATATTTCCCTATAGACATTTGTTTGCTATTAATTTCTGTTACTACATGATATTAAACACTCTAGTGTGTATACTAAAAGATTAATATTTGAACACTGAATTCCATGGTATTATTAATCAAATGAGTGGAAAATATTTTTGAATCATTAATGTCATATGTATAAGGTAATTATGAACTTAAATTCTTGCATTATTTCTCTCTTTTGTTAAAATCAATAAATTAGCCATTGGAAAGGGTTCACAGATTATGTTACAGAAGTATGGCTTAATTTGTTTCTATGAGACTAATCTGTCATTTCCGATAAAACCAAATTTCAAATAACATTAAGTCATTTGTATTATTTCTAACTCTGTACTTACAATACTAAAAATAATGTGATTTCTAAGCTTCTTAAAAATTAAAATGGTTTTTTTAAAATAATATAACTATGTAATAAGTATTTGGGGGCTTGAGGTTTTCAAATGATCAGTACTAGAATAGAAATTTAAAATCTCATGGTACATTTCACTCCCTATAATTAAAATCAAGATTCAAAGATCAAGTAACTTGCCTCAATCATTAGTTTGTATAAGAAACAGAAATGAGACCCAGACCCAAGTCTCTGATGCATGTATATACACACACTGACTGTGAAATATATATTTTAAATATGCAAT